TCATGATGCGCGAGCGGCCGTTTCGCTAGCTTCACTTATACCAAGAGAGACATAAGTTTATTTACAGAAAGGCAGAGAGGTCGGCCTGAGCGATAGCTTGCTCTAGCCTGCTACTCTACACTGGGGTAAGGAAAGGGGGAAAAGAAAGATTAATGGATGAAGATGGTGAGATAGAGAGGTGAGTATGTCGTGTTCTTTCTAGCTGAGACACATTTTATAGCCACGCATATAGTCCAGTTGTTTCTAAAAAAGTTATAACTGCTCTTATGACCACAGTTGCACTGGTGTCTGGCCAATGGCCCAACACGATCTCATCAGTTAATGACCTACTGCGATATAGTTCAGTAGAAGAAATCAGTGTTTGTCGTTCACGTGCGTATGCTGGGCAGACACAAAATATGTGCTCAAGTGTTTCTGGCACATCACAGTGTTCACAATTAGGACCGGTGTCACTGCGACCGATGATATATGCGTAACGTCTTGTGTACGCCACACCAAGACGAATGCGGTGGATCATACTTGTGAGTTGCCGTTTCAATTTAGGGAGCATGCGGAACCTCGTTTCCTGGTCTCATTTGTGGTGTCGCTGGTGTCGCCGTTCCGGTTTGGTCCAGTGCTGAAGTGTGTAGCTGCGCATCGCGCAGCGAAGCAGGGCGTTCATGTCAGCTCGTGAAAACGCAATGCGTACTTCAGGGGCACTGCTTAAGGCATTTTTACCTTCAGCGTCTGCCTCTTCGTTTCTCATCACGCCGCAATGAGCGGGAATCCACTGGAAAGTGATAAGATGGCCATTTGTTGAAGTAACCTGAATAAGTTCTGTGATTTCTATTGCCAAGCTGTAATACGAACCTTGCTTCATGATGCAATTAATGGTTTGCAAAGCGGGTTTGGCATCACAGAAAATCGTCCAGGCTCGAGGTCACTCTCCGGAAATAAATCTTATTGCCTCCCGGATAGCGACAAGCTCTGCGGCAGTTGATGTGGTTTTATGGTCCACTTTGAATCGTCGAGCGATATCCATGTCTGGGATGACAAAGGCTGTGGCGGAGGTGTCTAGCGTGGTGGATCCGTCGGTGTACACGTGCATAGAATCACTATACGTTGTATAAATGTGACACAGGGTCAGTTGTCAGAGGCCAACAAAAGAAATGAGCGACTTCTTCGCAATTCCAGGTAACGTAAAACAAACAGGTGGTTTAGGCAGGACCCATGGAGGCACTGCAGGGGCCTTTGGCGGGGAAAACCTTGATGGTATAATAATTCATGCCGCGATATTACTCTTGAGAAACTGCAATCTGGGTGAGTGGCGGGTAGTACTGACAGTGGGTGCTGTCTGTGTCTGCTCAGCACTCGGAGGTGAACTCTAAGTGGCTCGCAGAGCAAGTATACACTGATGGGACAAGCCCGAGCTTCTGCGATTGTCCCATTTGTTGAAGTACAGCGCGGTAGACCCAAGCATCTTCGTAAGCATAGAGCTTGAACACTCTCTAGCGTCTTCACACAACTAGGTCTCATATTCGAGAGCACCGGCATGCTGTATCGAATGTATCCCACAAATAGAGCATTGTACAATTGAAGTAGCCATGATTCTGATGGGCCCCATCTTGCTCCTGCTACGTGGCAAAGAACGAGAGCAAAGCTCTTTAGTTAAGATTTAAGTACTGCGACATGCCTCGTCCACGTTAGATGTCTGTGTACGACAACCCCAAGGAACTTGTGGTGCGTTACAGCAGGTACCGCTGTCCCATTAATAAATATCGGGTATTGCGAATACGCTTGCGCGTGAACGCAAGCACTGCGCATTTGTCGATTGAAAGAGTGAGCCCCTGACGTCGTAGATATTTGTATGTGATCGTCACTGCACGCTGTAGTCGAGCTCGCAATTGCGGACGAGTAGTTCCGGATGCCCATATGCATATGCCGTCAGCGTATGCACTGATCTTCACCGTGCTGGGAAGTTCTGCTGCTAGGCCGATCATTGTGACATTGAATGGGATCGGGTTGAGAACTCCTCCTTGGGGAACACCACGACGAACCTTATATTGATCGGTGTCTTCGTTATTTGTCGTCATGTAAATGGTGCGGTCCCTAAAGTAGCTAAAAATCAAAGCATACAGTCGTCCACCGAAGTCCAAATCTTCCAGTGCAAAAAGGATCGCATAATGCAGCACATTATCGTAGGCACCCTTAATGTCTACGAAGACCACCGCCACTAGTCTGTGTCCGCTTCTTTCCTCTTCAACGCTGGTGATCCACACCATCAATGGCAGATCGGCCTCTTCTGAAGCCGTTCATAAATGCAGGAAAGGAGTTGTTCTCTAGAAGCCACTCTCATCTTGACAGTACCATCCTTTCCATTACTTTCCCGACGCAGCTGGCTAAGGCGTTTGGTCTCTAGGAGGAAAGTGCATAAGGACACTTCCCCGGCTTAAGCAACGCAATAATGCGACTGCATTTCCAATTAGCTGGGACTTCTCCCGACTCCCATGAGGTGTTAAAATGAGATAACAGGATACGTCGTACTTCTGTGTCAAGATGGTTGAGCGCAGCATACGTGATTCCGTCACGTCCTGGTGCCGATGATCGGCGGGAGGCAGAAATCGCAGCGTCAAGCTCATGCATTGTAAAACGTACATCAAGGCGCTCGTCAGACGATGGAGACGCAATGGTAGTAAGAGGCTCATTAGTGGTAAGACCATCAGTGGTGTCCACGATGAGGCTACAGTAGTCACTGGCTATCTCAACTTCTGTCCTCAACTTCACGTCACTTATACCAAATTTGGTATTACGGGACATGAATGAATGATGAAGGTATGATACTGGTGCAAACATGATAATCATGAGAAGCCCATCATGTGAAAACATTACGACGTGCCATAGTCAAGACGCCAATACATTTCGACGTGACGTGCTGCGCGAGCTCGCCGGCGTCCATTTCATCGAGTCACGCCGGCGTTGCCACGCCAGGCGCCGGTCCTGCCATATATTCGCAGGCACGCGCCGTGCTGCGTTGCTTTGACGCATACGCGTTTCAGCGCATCAAGCGTCCCTCCGTCACGCAAAGATAGAGACGCAGTGTTGGCTGGTGCAAACATAATCCTCACACGCGTGTCATGTAGGAACATGACAACATACCACGCTCATAGCGTGCTCGAGGCCGTTTTGCTAGCTCCACATATACTAAATTTGGTGTCACGTGACGTGAATAGGTGACGAAGGTAAACGACGCATCAAAACATGATAATCATGACAAGGAGGTCATGTACGGCATCATTTACCTCCACTTCGTAACGTTGTGCTGGTTTAAAAGTGACATATCAGCATTTCTTATTCGTGCTTCGCATATCATCGATTCCCACTGTACGTGGGATCTGCCATTTTTTTTTCTAAACAGATATTCTGCGTCGAAATACATATACATTTTGATTTCTTTTTGTTTAGCGCACCGATAAACATGGGCAAGATGTAGAGAGGTCAGCGCTTGCTCGCGATACAGTTGAATTTTACCACATCCAGAAGAGGGGGACATGACTGTGTTAGCGAAGCCATAATAGCGACAATAGTGCTGCACGATAATGAGTACGTGTAACTAGACACGTAGTGCTTGTAATATCTTCTGATAATCCCATTACAAGTGCTTTTGTTGCTCCCTGTTCTGTTACGCATGCGCGTGGAATAATGTGTCTGTATACCTTTTTTTGTTTAATAAAATAGCGATTGTGGGTGTAAGTGCTATCCTGTATAATTCGTATTTTTCATGTTTTTCGGTGCGCTTAACAAAATGTTCAAAATGAACGTCAACCAGCTGGACTAACTCGCCATATCCTGCTGTCGAAGTAGTCTACAGTAGCGGTGTAGTAACAAACATGCGATACAGCGAGTGCGTCTGCTCACGAGTCCAGCATATTAGTGATGATTTAAAAGCAACCAAAAATTAAACAGAAATGAAGAGGTGGCGTCACAAACAAACACTAAAGTCCAAGGTTCGACGGAAACCTGTCTATTCGAAAAATCCACGGCGAAAAATAGCAAGCACCGACCAAATAAAAACCAAAAATCCTGTTTTGGTCCCACCAAGGGGACAAAGAATGAAAGGTTTTCAGGGGCGTGCGTTATAATGGGTTTGTTGATGTGACGTAAACATCGAGTGCAAATCGGGGGCAGATTGCCTGAGTTGCATTTGAGCGCGTCATGAGTTTTCCAAATGTGGATGGATTTCATACGAAGCCTTGCGCTTGTTTTTTTTTTTTTACTGTATTATCTTCGCGCTACCTCCAAGTCGAGTTCATGACGCGTGGACACTGCGTGCCAACCAGCGCATTTCTTACCATGTACTTGGTTTTTGCATCGTAGTTTTACAGTTTATATATATATATATATATATATATATATATATATATATATATATATATATATATATATATATATATATATATATATATATATATATATATATATATATATATATAGTCAATAAATACGTTTAAGTAGGTTTATTAGCTCACTTGTAACTTATGTTGACAAAAACGTCCACAAAATAATAATATGTGGAGTGTTATGTCCCAAAACCACAATATAATTATGAGGGACGCCGTACTGGAGCGCTTCGGAGATTCTGACCACGGGCCTCTACGATTTCGCTTCCATCGAGATGGGACCGCCGCGGCCAAGATCAAACCCACGACATCCGGGTCAGAAGCTGAGCACCATAGCCACTGATCCACCGAGCCGGACACAGTCGGATTCGCGCGTGTCTACTCACCGAATAGTAGCGTGCACAGTCGTACAAATGCAAAATAAAACAATGCGTACAGACAGAGCGGTATACTTCTATCCCCGTCATTTGTCACCCTCTGTTTGTCCGACTGTATGTGCAATGATCCCCTTTATAAGTGTTTCCGTCGCAGCAAAGTGAGCAGCAACACCAACATAGCTCACTTTTAAGAGGTATACTTCGAAATATATTTCCGCAAGCACATCGAGGGGACTGTGTGACTCACCTGGCAAAGAGGCGGCTACACTCATCGCAGCGTCGACGTGCTTGTCGGCGACTATCACGGCGGCATCTTCTTCGGCCAGCAAACGGCAGACGGCCTCGCCGATGCCGCTGCCGCCTCCAATGACCAGGCTAGACGACCGCTAAGAGACATCGCCCTGACGAGTGTGACCGATCACCGTCGCGGTTGTTCACACTCTGGCGTCTCGACCAAGGTACATGTAAACCGGTAGAGTAACTTCCGTAGAAGCCCATGGATCGAGTAGTCGGTGACTCGTTGCCACCGTCGCCATCTATGTGAGGAGGGGACAGCTAACAACAAAAATATCATAAGTAAAGTATGACGCCACAACCGGAAGCGGTAGCGACGTCGCGCATTTGCCCTATATCGCGCGAACTTATTTATTTTTTTTCTTAATTGCTGACCTGCCACGTACCATTATTATTACGCACTTTTATTGCGGCATATTAATATCTCGCCAATCACATGCGAAAGAGAAAAGAAACAAAAATAAAGATTAGGGAAGCAAAGTTGTTTTATTAGCCAAATGACGTACTTGCAATATGCACGAGAAACTTCGCAGAGTCAATTGTGAGACAACCGTTCACGAGCACAATAGCATAATAGTTCCAAAACTCACGTTGCCCAATCGTTGAAAACCACTGCAGCGGGACAGCAGTTTTGACAATATAGCTTTGGCAGCCGTAGAGTACAGCGTCTTAGCCTGTCGCGTTCGCAGTCACCAAAGGCGAGGGCACGTCGGCCGTGCGGCAGCGAAGGCAGTTGGCAGTCACAATAGCGCCATCTACACAATGTGTGAGCTAGTTGACATCTGAAATACACATAAACAAGTAAATTTCTGAATGCGTGCACGAGAACACCACGGAAAAGTGAGTGATGGCTCGCTGGCCTGTTAATGCGCCAAACCAAAGATCACGCCGAACTAAACACAAGCTCTGATAGCATATCGCCTGGATACGCCCCCACATCCGTTGGCCCATGTTACCAGACTGCCTCTACGTGCCCACTGTTTCTGAAACCAAACGAAAAAAAAAAAAATGCGCGCTCAACAACATACCAAAAACAAAAGCTTCATTAAAGTAATCTACAAATTTTTTGCAACAAATAAAATCGAAGCTATTGAAAATAAACGTTTAAATGTTTCTTTTTGTTTTCGCTACTTGTCCCCTCTCACCTAGTCATGCCTAAATTGTCACGCGGTTGTTGATGCCTGTCACAATAGGTTTCAGACAACTTTTCGTTCCGACTTTCACGCCCTATTTAGAATAACCTTGGTGTCGACCCCTATTACGCCCGTGTGCGCGCTTATCAGCAGGATAAGATTACTTGTGCCTCTCAGTTACAGAGAAATGGCACCGATAAAACGGTATACTGCCACTTATTGGCTCATGCATTATGTCCACGCTCATATCTCGGCAGCGGAAACTGGACGATAAGGAGCAGGAGGGCGTCATTGACTGCATGCACGTCCATCAGCTTATTCTTGACCGTGTACCCGACAAGGGCTGCAGAAATAGGGCCTTCTCATTCAAGACTATTTAAAAAAAAGGTTCTAGCACTTACGAATTTCAGTTTATTAACTACTTGTCATATATGTTACTGGCTGGTTAGTAACTGATGTTAGTACGAGGAGGTTACTAGCACTTACTTTCCACCATTACTAAAGCAGTTAGTAACGGCATAAAGAAATTAAAAAATCTAGTTAAGAGTGTACACTCCCACACACACACACATTATATATATATATATATATATATATATATATATATATATATATATATATATATATATATATATATATATATATATATATATATATATATATATATAAAACAGTTATGCTTAAAAATGTTCATTATTAATGTTTCCTATTTACTCTGTATACCTATTGTACCGTTCTTTTACAAATATATTTGTCTTTTTCTGAGCTTATTTCGAAATTTTTATCTAATAAAATGCACAGAGGGTTCCCGTACCGTTTTCTAAGAACCATGGCACCATCTTCTGTATATCCTTAACGATGCAACCATACTGTGCAAAATCAAGGTTTAATCAGATTTGATTCGATTGCAGCATGTCCATATTTTGAAAGACCGCACTTTACTTCCGGTTCGACGTACTTACCAGAAGTGTTTCGATAATTGGCTGGTCCTTCCTGTGTGCGATTACGTGTTTAACAAGACGCTTCAGTCAATTATGCACTCGTGTCCTTGCCTTTGTAGATAGTATCATTCACTATCGTTTTCGTATGGCGTATAAATTATGCTTGGCCGGCCTAATGTCCAGCACTTATCCAATATTTATCAAAGGCTTTCTAGAAACCGAACATTCATCACGATAGGGATACTAAAAGCAGACCCACTGAAAATTTCACACCAGGCCATATGTATGATATGATACTGATATGATATATGTTATGATCATAGCGAATCTCTTCAGGTTCAGACAACGATCCCGGTGACTATAGAACCACGAGATTAACGCAGACGCACTTGACGGGAAATCACATGCGCCAGCCTCCTGTGACTTCGAGCGCGGCACCCGTGACAAAAGAGCTCGCTTTTGGCAAGCACAGGAATTTGATGGCTTCCGCAATCTCTCGCGGCTGAGCCATTCTCTTAAGTGGCGTCGAAGCAATCGCCTTAGCTCTCATGTCTCCGGGTGCAGTGGCATTCATCGGTGTCTCAGTACAGCCCGGAAGCACGGCGTTGCAGCGAATGTTGTGTAGTGCCAGTTCTTGCGCTGACGACTTGGTGAGCGCCACGACTCCGCCCTTGGAAGCGCAGTACGCCGCCGCATTTTCTTGGCCACTCTTGCCGAAGATGCTCGCGGCGTTTACGATGGCTGCACCTCCTTCGGGAATCGGCTGACCCGAACGAAGAATGTAGCGGCTAGCCTCCCGAATCACCAGGAAAGTGCCCTGCATAGACATATGCGCCTACAACAAGTAAGGAAAGCACGCAAGTGGCATAGCGTGCCATGGAGAAAGACTTGCATATGTTACAACCTGATGTTTTCGTTACGCGCGTAGCTGACAAATAAGTTAACTGAATATTTAAGATACAAATAAGTGGGCTAAATTTACTGATTGCTAGTAAGTAGTTGCCATACCACTACTAAAACTAAGAATATTAGCAACAGTTATTTTCTAGGGGGGGTGTGAACAGTGCAACTCAGCACCAAATCAAATACCGATAAAAATGTGATCATACCGAATCGAATGTAAATCGAATAGTTTTCGAATGGTAAGACAACCAATTTAGAGACAGGCCTAGAATTTACATTTTATACCATACAGATGTTTATAGACAGTAACACTGTCATAGACGGCATTACTGTTACATTTCGTACACCAAAGATACCACAGTTGCATATATACTGATGTGAGCTCGTATACAGTATCAAAGAGAATATCCGAGTTTTCGTTGTTGTTGTTGTTGTTAACTGTAAGATAAAAACAGCAGTTAATGCAGTATTCGGTATTGTACAATCGTCGCAAGCTTTTAAATACTACTAGGCCCTTTAATTTAAAAACATTTTGATCGCCTTGGTGAAACTAAATTTTAAAGCGCAAATTCCTTTATTGACTGATGATGAAAGCTTCGGTAGTATCGTAAACTCTTAAACCGGAAGCATCAGGGCAATTCACTAAATAAAACAGGAAAAAGCTGCGCTTTGCTATTCTAACGTGTTGTTCCTTTGAACTATCCTTGTCGGGGCTGCTTGTTCGAAAGACATTCGATATATGAGACATGCATTTTTAAATTCGAGATCCAATGTGCTGTTCGAAATTCAAAGCATATGCTCTCCTTTTTGCTTTTTTAAAGGAACACTGAAGCAAAACAGTGCGTATATTAGTTTTCACAGATAAGCGACGTCATGGATTTCAATTTTTTTTATCTCCTCAACAAGCATTTCTGGAATCTGCTGTTTTAAGTCTCTGGCTTCTTCAGCAGTCAAAAATAGGTTAGAACTTCGTAAGTTCTACTAGACGCCATCATAATCTATGATGTCACTGCAATTGGTGCAAAAGCTCCAATCTGGCATCGCCACCATCACGTTTTCTCACTTCCCAGGAGTCTTCTCGCACCAAGCGAGGTGCTTTCGGTATCTCGACAGAGTGAATTACCAATACGAGAAAAATCGCTCTTCTGTTTAGAGTGACCGTTTAAATAACGCACAAGCCTTCAAAGCTACTGAAGCCTTGGTGGATAGTGCCTTCCATAGTAATGCGGTGATGACAGTTATCAAAGTAGACATAAGGTTGGCTTATTGGCTCTTAAACGTTACCTGTTGTCTAATGCATATTTGAGCACAATATAAGAAAGAAGAATGAAGGGAACATGATATTTATGCTCTCGGTAATGAAAAAAAGACAATGAGGTATCTTGATGAAAGAAATTCTCTGCAGTTTACACTTTGATAATGCTAAGATAACAAAAGAAGAAGTGTGAATATACACGGATAATGTGGAGTGCCGCTACTGCTGCTCTAAAGGAAAGTAAACACCGAGCTCCAGCCTATCGATGTACTAATTTTTCTCTCCCATGAATTCGCCCTCAAGATCTCTTCTTAGAACACGGAGCGATCGTCTTTCACCTTGAGGTTGACCCTGATGATGTCGTCGAACACGTCCTCGCTGCAGTCCACGATTGGCGCGAAACCAATAATTCCGGCGCAGTTGACCACAGCGCTTAGGGGCAGTGCTGCGTTTGCATCGTTGATGTTGTCAAACAGCCGCTGCACAGAAGCCGAATCACCGACATCCACGTACACGGCCCGATGCTTTTCGTCACCTGTCCGTGGTACCAGATATAAATTAGCACAACCTATTCTTTAAGCAACGCGTATGAACAGCAGCACAAGTTCAATGCGCTACTGAGACTAGTGACGTATATATGCACAGAAAACAAGCAGCATTATCACCTGATCCCTTTTATGTCACGCCTATATGCATGCCCTTGCATGCTTTTGGATGTGTATATATTCTCAATGCCCTTGGTGCCCGACGTACTGCTTTTCTTTCTTCTTTCCTTCGTTCTGTCACATTGGCATACTCCTCTCAAGACTGCTTCTTTGGCTCTCGTACTTTACTGTGTCGCATGAGGTTGCGCGTGGCATTTACGAATGCGTACTCTGGTCTCCTTGGAATGGCGAGCACTTCGGCATGCAACATCTGCGCCTGCGACGACACGCTCGAGCACATTCTATGCCATTGCCCAGCATATCAGTCTGAACGACGTATTATGGAAGCCAAGCTCCGTCAGCTGGATTCGAGGCCGCTTACAGAAGAGGGGATCCTGGGACCTTGGCCGACGGCTTCCCATAGGCGCAAAGCCACGAAAGCCCTCTTGTACTTCTTTAGGGACCACCAGACTTCACGACTGCTTGTGAAAGAACAGTCCGAGATCGTGCTGTGTAGTCTCGAGCTGACTATTCATCCTTCTTGTTCTTACTCCTCTTCTTTTCTATATATTTTTATTATTCTCCCTTTCCCCTACCCCAAGTGTAGGGTAGCCAACCCGGCCAAGCTTGGTTAACCTCCCTGCCTTTCCTCTCTATTTATCTCCCTCTCTCTCTCTCTCTTTCTTGGTTCACGTGAAAAATGAAAACTTCGATCGTACACTGTAGCAGGCCAACCTTTCTGTCACAAAAGGCAACAAACACGGTGATGCGTTCATCTTCGCGCCCCTTTTTCTGTGACTTATATTATTTGCTTCTTGTATTTTTGTGTTATTTGTGCACTGCAGAAGTGTTATTTTTAAGTGCTTCCACCCTACCATTTTTACTGTGATTAACTAAGCCACATTCATTTACTTGTTCAATGCTTTTTTGTTAACGCTCTTTGTAGGTTTCACGCTAACTTTCGTCATTATCAAGTCATCATATTGCCATTTTCAGTATATTACTACCGATGTGATAATGCACAGGAAACAGTTTGCATCTACATGGCTTCCTTCTGTAGATTCTTATGATGTATACGTTCCTTTATTTTACACCAAATAAATAATTTTTGACATCCAGGCAACAATGTTATGTGTTAACGCGAAATCACGAGTGACCTCGATAAAAGATCAGGTTGTTATACAAGAAGCGGCCGATCGCCCACAACTTTATGATCGAGAGAACATCAATTATTGGAAAAATGGTACGCATAAATACGCGCCCGACAAGAGCACGTATACGATGAGGGCCGCATTTATGCACGCTCGACGGCGCCTGAATATCTAACGTGCTATGCCACCACTGAAATACGTAAGTAGTAAAAGCCTCGCTCTAACGCCCCACTTATTCGGGAATCCAGCACGCCCAATAAAGATTCTGATTCGAAATGCGTTAGTACAGTATGAAAATTTTGCTTGTTTAGCGCAACAAAAAATATGGACAAGACGATGCAGACAGGACAGCGCTTGACCGCGATATAGTTGAATCTTACCACATCCAGAAGACGAGGACGTCACTGTGTTATTCAAGCCACAAACGGTAACTTAGAAGTGTGGCAGCTTGGGCTAGTTGGTATGGCATGACGATAGTTATAGCGCGAGAACAAAACGACGACACAGAGTCCTTCTTGTCCTTAATCTTGTTTGTGTCGTCGTTTTGTTCTCGCGCTATAACTATCGCCACAAACGGTGCTGCACGATAAGGAGTGCGTGCAACTATGTAGACAGGTACTGCTTTTAATACCTTCTGATAATCCCATTACAAATGCTTTAGTTGCGCCCTGCTCTATTACGCATGCGCGAAGAATCGTGTATCTGTGTTTATATACCTTTTCTGTATAATAAAATAGCGATCGCGAGTGTAAGTGTTGTCCTGTCTAGTTCATCTTGTCTATGTTTTTCTCGGTGCGCTTAACAAGACAAAAATTTCAAAATGAACGTCAACGAACTGGCCCAACTCGCTGTCTTGCTGTAGAAGTAGTCTACAACAGCCGTGTAGTAAGCACCATGCGATACAGCGGGCGTGTAAGCTTAAGAGTCGACCGTAATATTGATGATTTTAAAGCGACAAAAAAATTAAGCAAGAATGAAGAGGAGCAGTGCCAAAGAAGCATTGAAGTCCAGGGTTCAACGGAAACACATCTGGTCGACAAATTCATGGCGGAAAATAGCAAGCACCGACCGATCGTTGAAACAAAAACTAAAAATGCTGTTTCAGTGTTTTCCCACCACGGTGGCCTTGTGGCTAAGGTTTTCGGCTGTTCATCCGCAGGTCGCGGGATTGAATGCCGGCAGCGGCATTTTCAATGAAGGCGTAAATGTTGTAGGCCCGTGTACTCAGACTCTGGCGAACGTTAGAGAAGCGCAGGTGGTTGAAATCTCCGGAGCCCTCCATTATGGCGTTTCTCATAATCATATATATGGTGGTTTTTGTGACGTTAAACAACACATATCAATCAATGAATCTGTTTTGGTCCCGCTAAGAGGACAAAGAATGAAAGGTTTTCAGGGGCGTGGGTTATATGGGTTTGGTCATGTGACGTAAGCATCGAATGTAAATCTGGGGCAGATTGCCTAAGTTGTATTTGAGTGTGCTTTTGGTTGTTCAAATGTGGATGGATTCGATATAAAGCTTTGCTCTTTTGTTTTTTTATCGTGTTATCTTCACGTTAGCGTAGTCTTCTCGTTACTCGCGGACACTGCGTGACAACTAGCGCATTTCTTACCACGTGCTTGGTTCTTACATCATAGTTTGTTTTTATATATAGAATCATTGCTGAGTAATGAGAGCAGGTGCTAAAAGAAATATGCTGAAGTAGGTTGATTGTATCACCTGTAACTTGCGTTAAATAAGCATGACAAAACGTACACAAATATATAATAGATTAAATAATTAATTTAATAATAATAATAATAATAATAATAATAATAATAATAATAATAATAATAATAATATAACATGTAGGGCTTCACGTCCAAGAACCACGATATCATTATCAGGGACGAAGTATTGGAGGGCTTTGGAAATATTGGCCACGGGCCTCTATCATAATATTGAAACCCGCAATATCTGGGGTCAGCAGCCCAGCGCCATCGCCACTGGTTCACCGAGGCTGACACTGGCGCATTCGTGCATGTCTATTTAGAGAACCGTAGCTGGTACAGTCGGACAAACGCAGTAAAATTCGGAGAGTACAGACAGAGCGCTCCTTCTATCCCCGTCATTTTTTCCCCCCTTCTGTTTGTCCGACTGCACATATATGTGTGCAACGATCCTCCTTATAAATGATTCCGTCGCATCAAAGGCAACGACACCGACTAGCTCACCTTTAATAAGCGTATACATTTCGAAATATATTTCCGCAAGCACATTGAGAGGGCCGTGTGGCTCACCTGGTAGAGAGGCGGTTACTTGCCTCGCAGCCTCGATGTGCTTGTCGGCGACTACCACGGCGGCACCTTCTTCGGCCAGCGCACGGCACACGGCCTCGCCGATGCCGCTGGCACCTCCAGTCACCAGTGCTAGACGACCGTTGAGAGACATGGCCTCGACGAGCTTGCCCGACCACCGTCGCCGTTCTTGACGCACTGGCGTGTCGACCTTTACGACACCTGTGTGCGCTCTTATAAGCACAATAAGATTACTCGTGCCTCTCAGTTACGTAGAAGTGGCACCGATAAAACTATATACGGCTACTTAATTGGCTCATGTGTTAAGCACTATCGCGAGCAAGATGAGTTAGAACACGCTTGGCGAATATCCTCGCACCCTATATAGATCGGCTGATTTGCAGTGGCTGTTGTCGGAAGCAAAGAGGAAAGGGCTGTGCGCTTATGGTATCTGTTCACACTCTCGATTCAATATCGTTGCTGCAAAACGGTGGCTCATAGCATGTTATAGTGGCTGCCAGCGGCGATACCAACTCGCATAACGTGCACAGTCACAATTGATAACCCATCAGGCTATCTTCTGAGATATCGGCTGTGACGCAGGCTGCCGTGATTCGATGCGTGTTTTACTATGTACATTGTGTTGGCTTCGCATTTAAGATACAACTCCTTCACTTACTTTGTTTATCGTGGATTTTTCTCTGCGTTATCATCGCCAACGACAGATTGCGCGCAATCATCTGGCGTTTGCCCGCAATGCTAGCGATACGGTTGCGCCGACAGACAGTGGTAGAGCAGCCCTACTTTCAGCTACGGTTTCTTCAGAGCCATCCACGTGTCACGCTATCTCGGTTTCGAGGCCGTTTGGCAGGCGCTCATATTGCTCTCGATAGCACATACACGCCCAGACGATAACGAGCAGGAGGGCGTCATTGATTGCGTGCACGTCCATCTGTTTATCATTGATCGTGTACTCAACAAGGGCTGCAGAAATGGTGTCTTTCTCATTCAACTTGACCTGTTCCGCCTCTGTTTCGCCTTGGTAGCACTTGTTCTGTACGAGCATACATGTTTGGTGAAGGTGAAAACAAACATTCATTACGTTGTCATAATGAGTGGCCGAATACGTTTAGCGGGCTCGTTTTACGATTTGACGTGCTTTTACGACATGCTCCAGCGAATGAGACGAGGAGAACTGTTTGTACAGTATATGTCACCACTGGAAAATATTACTAATTTATCGCTCTCTCCCGTTTCTTTTTTGTAACCACCATGCTGAAGTGGGACGTTCGCATAGCATCGCACTTGTTCGAAAACTTTGACGAAGACCGGTCCATCGGTCGAAACCGTTGAAAATAAAATTAAGACAACTGCTAGTTTGCGTCTCTTCTCTTCCTATGAATGAATGAATAAACTTTATTTCCGTATCCGGCATGTTTGTGGTCTGGGCTATAGACCACACAAGAAGGTACCGGGAGACCTTGTCTGTACAGTCTCTATGGCCTGCTAAAGAGCCCATTTTGGGTCTTGAACCTCCGAGCTGAGCAGCACAAGCCACCACTGCTCCCGGAGGGCCTCAGGAGAACTTGTTAAGTTTGGGCATTCCCATAGTATATGTTTATAAGACGCCTTTTCTGTTACACATAGCTTACATTTACTGTCCGGGTATAAGTGTGGGAAGCTCCTGTGGAGGTGCACAGGGTTCGGGTAGCAGTTCGTCTGTAGCTGCCAGTATTCTGATGCTTCTTGTCTGTTTAGACTCGAGTGAGGTGCGGGAAAGACGCGCCTTGCTTCTCTGTAGTGTTGCATGTGTTCTGAGTAGCTTCTAAAACAGTCTTTGGTACGTCGGTGGCGCCAGGGATGATCACCGAGCTGTGTGGTCAGGTTGCGCGGCGGATTAATTCTCGCGACAACTCATGAGCCAGCTCGTTCGGATTGGATGTATCAGTCTCTGTGTGCGCCGGGAACCATACGAGGTATTTGGGTTCACCTACTTCGTGTAGTTCTTGGTTATCAACGAGAATTCTGAGGGCTTGTTGTGAAACCCGTCCTTGCGTAAAATTTCTGATGGCTACTTGCGAATCACTCAGTATAAATGAGTGTTTGTTGGAGATGATAGCCATGACAATGGCTACCTCCTCAGTTTACTCTAAATTGTTTGTCATAAAAAAATTACGGCATATTCACGGGGTTAATGATGATGAATGGGCGAAGCTCCGGAGGGATTCATCGGTAAACTGTGAATCTTCCGTGTAATTCGCCCAGTCGATCATCATGTAAAGACGTGAGAAACGCTGTGTGTGTATATACACAAATCAACTATTATTTGTTCTTAGACGATGGATGGCTTGCGATGTCCCTTCATTATGACGGCTTTATGGTCTGTGAAATGAAGGGAGAGCGGTTCCTGTATGGGTTGCAGTGGGCAATTTGCAAATACTAGGTCTATGCATGTTCCTCGGATCGTGGTAGGTTTCATATGGTCAAACGATATACGTCTGAGTGCATATCTAGAAGCCATATGTTGGATAAGCCAATTATTGTCTATGATAGCCACGTTAAAGTCTCCAAGTAGTACAAATGGTCCATTCTTGTATTTGTTCTCATAATTTCGTAACGCAATGACACGCGCCATATGTGACATCATTCCTATTTTATAAGATCTCGCGTCTTTCATCAACTACAAGTACCGCTTTCTAGTTTATAACATCTTTCATCTTTTCATCATCAGCTACAAGTACCACCATCTAGTAAACACTACAAGAACTAAACGAGAGGTGGCTACATACAGGAGACGGTACCGCCATCTAGTGAACACTGCAAGAACTAAACTAGAGGTGGCTACATACAGGGGACGGTACCGCCATCTAGTGAACACTGCAAGAACTAAACTAGAGGTGGCTACATACAGGCTACAGGGGACGCACAGCCCACGCCCTAAGGAGCTTCGCCCCTAAAACACGCATTAATACAAATGCCGGACGTGTCGATAACGACAGCAGTGTGAGCCTTTCGTTCAGGGTATGGGCTATGGCATCTACAAAGAGAGATTTACTGTTCGTGCCGTGTGCTTAGAGCAGTGCTTTTGCTCGGTGTTTTCTGCGGTCCGTGTTGATAATGGGGTTCATGTTTTTCGGTATCGGGTTAGAGACGATCTTAGCTCTGATTGTATTGGGGATCTCATGTTTGACACCATGTTGTGCATGGTACATGATTCTTAATTTGCTCATTATAATTATTCCTGTTTTAGTTTTAGTGAGCCTTTGAAGCTGGGATATGCGCTGAGCTTCCATTATCTCTTCAAGCATATTTTTACGTAAGGTGAGGTAACTTAAGGGGGTCTTTAATGGGCACTGAGAACGCGATTACAATAGAAGCAACGTCCGTCTTGCTTCTCTACCCGCGCTTCCCTTGCTTTTCCTCCTAGTGACACTTCGTATCCTTCCTCCTGTCTAAGACGGAGCCCTCTGGGCGAGTCATTCTTGTATCCTTCTTGTAAACGGCTTCAGGCCGAACCCCCCTTCGCAGTTATTCACGCACTCGCGTGTCAATCCCTATAGCTTCGAGCTCGGTGAAATTATTACGTACACAAACTGATTACACGTGCGTTAGCGCTTATCAGAGAGCATGGATACGCAACGTTTCTCAGCTGCGGATAAGCGGCCGCCATAAGACGATATTTCGGCACCCAATTACTACTGGTCTGTAGCAACTGAAGGAGAAGGATGACGACGTCATTGAATAAACTCACCTGTTCAGCTTCGATGGTGCACCAAACTGGCGTCAGGTATACCATATTTCCCTTTTTACCCACTTGCTCCGCCCTTGTTTAGCCTTGAAAGGTGGCACAGCAACGACTCCGTAAAAGGGCATAAATATTTAGAAAAGCTTAAAAAAAAGATAGGCCGCTAGGCATGCAGTTCAAAAGCAATACCCTGGCTCCGATTACCTGTACCAACAAGATACAGCTGTTATATACTTTCCTCTTGAGGGATAGCGGCAATCTACCTGTCATGATTTGAGAGTGCTTAGCAAATGGGCTCTACCCCATTCTTATTCTTCTAGTTACTTCAGTCTCGTGGTTCGGCTCAGCGGTTATTACCTTCCCCGTTGTGAATAAGGCAATATTTTTTGTCCGAATAAACAATGAATGAAATGAAAATTTCACCTACCCTGCTTTGCCATGCAGTCTCGTGCATGCCCGTTCGTCGTTGTCTCGCCTCTATATCAAGCCCGATAACCTGACTTCACTTTGCTTTCTACATTTGCGACTGCGCAAGGGAAGATAACAGCGTGCAGTTCGAAAGCGGGAAATTCGGACTCTCTAAAAGCTTATTGCTGGCGTTTTACGTGTTTTATGAAGAATTAAGCGGCGAGAAAGAGATAGAAAGAAGTGAAGTAGAGAAAAAAAACTATACTGTCTCGCCTTTGACATTAGTGTGGTTTAGAGGCCCTTTAAAGGCCTCCTCGATTTAGGTGCGCGTTAAATAGTGAAAGCGTGTTTCAATTACTATTCTTATCCACATTGGCGTGCGCAGTGTTCGTATTGAAAAGAGCACAGCAACACGACAACGAAGAAAGAAACAACGGGAAGTGCGCCGACTCGCAGGGCAGACAGAGGGCGCTGCAATAATGCACGCGATAAAAAGCATAAAAGAACCACGAGGACTGACAAACCAACAAATCCTCCCTCGCACATCGGAGCGCATTGTGCTGCATGAGGTTGAGAACCGAGCTTCGGGTATCGCACTATCATTCACCATCATAAGAATTAACTCTTCAAAAAAAAAGAAAAAAAAACATCGAAACATATACATTCCGTCGAAACCATCTGAACATTCGTAAACCATCAGAACATCAAAAAAAAAACTACCGAAAGATTCGTACAGAAGAAGATATGTGCATTACCCACCCTTCAGTGTCACAGACCAAGCCGACTTATTTTCGGGCTTCTTCGATTGAATATTTTTTCCTGCGCACATGGCGGTGACACACGTGTGGCGTATTTATGCTCAAGTTCTTTCAACGCCCATTGATGTTTAACGGCATCGCTGCGCACGTGACATCTTCATGTTGAAAACTATGTATTCGTTCTTTCCTATAAACTTCTTAGTTTCTTTTTTTTTATTTCTCCTCGCCTTCCAGCGCTGTTCTCAAGATGAATGCCAACCAACGTACCCAAATCTCTGTTCTCGTGCGCAGGGTTCCGCAATATGGAGAGGGGGAAGGTGAAGTTTCAACGCAGCGCTAAGGCAGCGCTCCACTTTCACCCCTCTCACTCTTGTAGAGTACAATAGAAAACAGGTTCCGCATTGAATGTGAATACGAAAATGAAACTATGACGTGCTCCTTACAGCGGTCTGTTGTGGGCCCCTGCCTTTCGGGGAGTAAAAACGGGAAATAAACAGTTCTCTGCATGGAACGCCACGGGTCCTCGGCCGCCATTATTGTCTAAATATGTGCATGGTCATAACCCTGTCCATTAGAATACGGAAAAGGTCTGACTGAGTGAAAGTATGCGGCAGAATTGGCGCCCCCTTTAGGTGATTAGTGAGTGTGGGAAACTCACCCTATGCCCCCGCCAATCACCCCCTTCGTACGAATGAATATATGCTTTTCCTGATAGGCGTCCATACCCTAGTGAGTCCAAAGGGCCACTAGTATCAGCGTTATAGCGTGACCTTACGTCACGAAACAAAAGGCGCAACGATTCGTGGCAAGCGCCGCCGCCGAGTATCTTACAACACTTGTGAAAGAGGCATCGAAGGTGGCCAGGGGCAGATGTGCAATGGCGCTATCTTTTAAGGCACTTTTCACCTAAACAGATGTGTACTTGCCACCGAAAATTGTTGTTTTACATGTAGTTTCGCGCGCGGACGCGACCCGCCAGAGCCTAGACAGCAAGTGAATGCGCATATACATCGTCCACCATGTCTCTTCGGCATCACAAGAGCAGCAGCCCAGCTGGGGCTTAGAAGGGCGAGACGCCTTCACCAGTACTGCGGTAATGCACCTGCCAAGTATATGCATCGTTTATGAACGAGAGAGTGGAGTCGCGCTCGCTACTACACAGAATCGGACTCAATTCAGCTGATTTTGCTCGCTAGGTTGCAGGTTATTGCGCTGCTGTTGCATTTCGAAAGCTCACCTGCACGGTGCCTATACGCGGTCGCGTGGGCCCAGGCATTCTTTTCACATCGTTATGAATCTGACAAGGCATTCACAGCCTTTGAGTGTTCTAAGCTACCCCCGTAATTTTGATGGTGATGATGAATACACGATCACTTACGATCTATTACAGCAATAACAATGTGTTTATTCCCGTCCAAGTTAGCGTTCCAGACATTTCTCGTTTAACCAAGAAGCGCTGGCATTCAACCTTGTTTTATGGCGATGCTGATCGAACAACTCGTTTTCTGACCCGTACGGAGTTAAAAGTCATGACCTCTAAGCGACGGTTCGGGCAGGGCACATAAAATATTATTGCGTTGAGGTATGTAAATCAGATGTGCGCTCTTCTATAAAATAGGATCAATACTTAACTCTGCTTGATAATAACAAAACGTTCTCGTCTCTACAGACAAAGAGCTCGGTAACCATTGGGAAAGGCCAGGTTGGCCGTGCACTGGCCTCACGCACACGAGCTTCAAAGCAGAACATACAAAAACAAAGGCGGCGGAAGAAGGGGATCCGAGACCTTGTCAGGTTACACGCATGCTTTGACGTCCAACATTTAATGTCGCGTCAATCTAGCAAGATCACTGGAAAGACAGCTGATAAAGTGATAGTCTAGCCAGAAGAACGGTATACGCCCCATTTGCAGTGCCGTGATGGAGATGTGCCTTGGGGGCACAAACGTGACATGTAGAAAGACACTCATGGTAGAATCGTTCGCACGGGGTGGAGAAGCGTAGCACGTATAGTCGTCAATCGTCAAAATCATGGTCATTCGTTAAGCGGGCATGCATCAATCACTGAAAGCGTTCACTCTGAAGTTCACCGGAGTTCGAGTCAAGGCGCCGAGGCAAGGTGTGTGAGCCCTCACGAACACGCAGCACTTTTTCAGCCACTGCTATTGACTTGCAACGTCACTGTGATTCCCAGATGTATGCACAGACTTCGCATAGATAATAGCTTCGTTCGAACGATGCTGTGGCAGGTGTGGTTCAGTCGGGACTGACACTGACTGCGGACGCAGCTGAAATGACCGACAGCGAGCGCACCCTTCCGGCGGACGGCGACGAGGTTTCCTGCTGTTTCCTCAGCGGTGCGCAGCTGCAGCACGTGTTCTGGCCGTACACGAACGCCTCGCCGTCTTCGAGTGTCTCGGGAAGCCGCTGGTTGAGCGTCTCGGGCATCGGGAACGTCAGCAGTGCCAGTACGAATGACATGGCGCCCATCAGCAGCAGCGGGATCGGACGTCCGTACATGGCCTGCAGGGAACGTCGAAGGTGGAATGTGTACAAAGCCACGGGCGCCATTCTCGAATTGAGTGAAGTGGTCACGTAACAAAAAACGTGATGCCCTGACGTTTTGCTATCTTGTTTTTGTTCCATTCTCGAAGATGTTTGATTTTGGTGAAATGTGGCAACACATGGTTATTCGTCACAATAACGTCAAAGACTTGATACTGATCTCGATTTCCGTTATAGTACGAAGACGACTCTCTTTTAAATCACCAAAGACTTGTAAAACATCCATGTAGGTCTAGCTCCATAGGCCCTGCGACAGCTTTGAGGCCTGCAGGCTGATCGCCGGACCCTCCAGTGTGTCTTAAGAAGACTGGATGATCGACCTGCCCCGCCGCGGTGGTCTAGTGGCTAAGGTACTCGGCTGCTGACCCGCAGGGCGCGGGTTCGAATCCCGGCTGCAGCGGCTGCATTTCCGATGGAGGCGGAAATGTTGTAGGCCCGTGTGCTCAGATTTGGGTGCACGTTAAAGAACCCCAGGTGGTCTAAATTTCCGGAGCCCTCCACTACGGCGTCTCTCATAATCATATAGTGGTTTTGGGACGTTAAACCCCACATATCAATCAATCAATGGATGATAGACCCTTTACTCTAGAGAAGATCTTAAGTGTGTGGCCTTGAAGTAAATCAGCCTAGAAGGCCACACGAGCCCTTTTACAATTCCTGGGGGCAACATCCGTGCGCGACCGCCAGTGAAACCTGCACTGCGTGAGCGGTGTGTGTGTTATGCAATGGGTATTTCCTCCTCTCTCATTTACAACCTCATTCCTTTCTCCCTCCGTGTAGGGTAGCAAACTGCACTTAGTATAGTTGACATTTCGGATATCCTTTCTCACTCTCTCTCTCTCTTTCTCGAGGCCTGCTCACGCGCCATTTAACCCAGTATGCTGACAATGCACTGGCTTATCTCCACGTCTTTACTTTAGTTTCTTGTACGCTATCGGTCACGCGAGCGGCATGGTGTCGATATCTTGGCAATTGTTAGTTACACGCCCACATATTTGGACTTTCCGACGGGATTACAGATTTCCCCCTCTTTACCCCACCCCCCCCCCAAAAAAACAAAACAAAATAACAATGTCGAAATTCACGCCTAGAAACGCATCATTTAGAACAGCAAACAACTGCGTTTAGTGTTTTTTTTTTCTTTCAAGAGTAAAGAGCGGAAGTAGTGGTTGCGCTACACAGGGCCATTACGTTGTCTATACAGTACTTACCAGCTGCGTGACCTGAGAGCTGAGAAATTTTCCCACGGAGCCAAAGGCCTGGCGTAGGGACAGTGCCTGCGACCGGGCTGCCGTCGGGTAAACCTCGGCCGCGTAGAGGTAGCCCACGTTGTAGGCCATGGTCAAGGCAACCCGTGCCAGCATGAACACCGCGGTGCCTAACGCCAGGCTTTCTGCAATGGAACGTGCATTGCAAAAACAAACGTGAACGATGATTCATTATATCGCCTGATAGAGAACACGTCGAAAATTCGCAAAAGAAAAATTTTGGAACCTTCGCCCTATAGGCAGAATTGGAGCAAGTGAAGCCAGGCGTGTGCTTGCCTGACGCACTTTTTTTCCTTTGAATTTTGTTCATTTTTTATCGCATTGCGAAATGCTCACTGCCAATCATTTCCTTTCTCCATGCCGGGAATGGGATCTATACGCACGCCGATGTGCTTCTCAATGTCGGCACTTCAGTAATTGATACAAGTCACCCTCAACCATCACGCATTCGTATCATGGCAACCACGAAATACAACAACTTCGATAAAACATCACATTGAAATATCAGCAACGGCTGATCGCCGATAAGCTAACGATAGGGAGGGCAAATGCGCACGTGACCAGCATACCTTCGATGGCCTCGCCACCGAAATTGGCGAGTTGTGAAAGGTTCGTTTAAATATGGCTTATTCTTGGAAAAGCTTTACTAAAGGCCAATACCGTCGGCTTTCTTTTTTTTCCTCACGTGATCATGCAATTTACGCTCCTTTGAGCTGATTGCTTGATACATTTAATACGACTTCTTTCTGCTTTTCATAAAGAAGCATTCTTGCGTCCCGCTAATTTCAAGTTAATTCACTTTATTTACCTTGTAATGACAGTATTAGTGATGTTAGCAATTGGTTATGACGTTTCTTATATGCTCGACCTTACCATCGTACTCTACAGGTACTTGTGTAATCCACTGCGACAACACCAGACACTGGCTAGCAGCTTTGCATATAAACGAATAAAAATTAAATGAGCCCTCCCCGTCATTTGCATGTTAGCTAACCCTATACATGTTGATAAACATTATGAGATCACCTTACAAAGAAATAAAAGTATATTGAAACTACAAAGGAAAAGCCCTTCGACACTTTTTGTGACGATTTAGCTAATTTTCAGTTCTTATCACCATTACTCATTGTTTTGCAGGCCGCCATTATCACTAGGGTCGTTCACTCGGCGAGACATTCAGATGATAAGAAAACATTAGGTAAATTCCATAGACCTTCACAAATATACTACGCCCCCCAACATCCACGGTCAGTATACGCCCGAAATGCGGAAATGTTTCCGTACTATACCTTTCGGCACTCCGACGGAACAGATGTAGGCCACGGCCGCTGCCGCATAGGCGGTCATCATTGTTGGCCTTCGCCCCCAGCGGTCAGCCAGAGGAAGCGCCGTGCCAGTGGCCACGATGTCCACCAAGTTTACAGCCGTGGTCATCACGAAGGGACTGTGACTCGCGTTCGCAGCGTACAGTTGTCCGGCCGTGTACACCAGACAGGCGAGGGTCCTGCGCAAGGATGCAAACGACGTGTCTTAATTACACGTGAATAAGCTTCAAGAGAGAATCACATCGAGGTTTTGAGACAAGGCAACCCCCACCTTCACACAAACACAGACACTCACTTTTATTAATCATTTTTATCCCTGAAAATGCTTACTGTACAGATTCAGAAGAAATAAAAGAAGCAAGAGACCCGATAGCGAGATCCTCGCTGATCTTGTACGTTGTATGAAATACAGTACAACTTACTGTTTTTCTAAACAAGAATTGCCCCGCCACGGTGGTCTAGTGGCTAAGGTACTCGGCTGCTGACCCGCAGGTCGCGGGATCAAATCCCGGCTGTTGCGGCTGCATTTCCGATGGAGGCGGAAATGTTGTAGGCCCGTGTACTCAGATTTGGGTGCACGTTAAAGAACCCCAGGTGGTCGAAATTTCCGGAGCCCTCCACTACGGCGTCTCTCATAATCATAAGGTGGTTTTGGAACGTTAAACCCCACAAATCAATCAATCAAATCAATCTAAACAAGCATTAGTTATCTGCGAGGTGCATCAACATGAACATTTTACTCTTTATCTGATGTCTGGCACACACTACACTACAAGTTCACAACTTGATTCCTGGTATTCTTTGCATATATCTGCGTTTTATAACGTACAAAATCTACACGTGTGTTAAGTGAATTTGCTAAACGGGGGATCACTGTAATGTCACTACAGAAGTACATGCAGCGGAACGCGTTGCTTTTCGCACTGTCAGTGCAACCTATCATCGGTCCGCTGGTCCGAGTGTTCCTCTCCAACTCCGACATGCAGAGCCTGCCAGTGGGCGAATTTGTGGTTTCTGTCGACTCCACCGCCGTGCCAGAACCAAGTGTCCGACATGACTGGCAGATAAGCTTTTTTTTTTTTGTCAATATGTCCCGCAAGCAAAACATGGCAAGCTTTTACACCGTGCACACGATTGGTGCGAGCTTAATGAGCATTTATTTATTTATTTATTTATTTATTTATTTATTTTACCCTCAGGGCACACAGTAAATTTCAGAGAGGAAGGGCATGCACGATAATGAAAAAAAAAACAAGGAATACAAAGCAAATGGCATAAAAATGTTGTCACTATTGTTGTCAGCATTGACACAGGTACGCACGGCAAAAAAACAAAGCCATTTACGAAAGAAAGCCCTGTCTTCACAGGACACGCTTTGCTGTTAATAAAGGTTATTTCACAGGCGTCCGGGTGATCCGCGCAGGGGAAGGTTCTCTGTGCTATCCATCGTCTGCACTACGCGGAGCGTGCATGCGGCAATAGGCGAGAAGCCACGCCACAATAAAGGAAGGCTTATCGCGAGCAAGTCATGACTCACATAAGAACACACACGCGGTGTGATAGCGCCAGCCGAAAAAAAAATTCCTTCGCTACGGTTGCATAAACTGAGAGCAAGATTCAGGCACCGACAGCCACAGCATATCGCAGTTGGACATGCACTATTGGACTAACGGACATTTGCTAGGCTGCGCCGACTGTGCGGAAAACCTAATAGGGAGCCTTCGCGCGCGGGGCACGCAAAGGTTTTCTCCGAAAGCCACGCGTGCCGTTCACATTCGTTTCCATGGCGACAGTACGTGTCTTTTAAGATAGAACGAGAATTCGCCCATGAGATGACAGAAGCTGGAGCCCGCCAAGAACCGCATTCGAGGAAGCAGAAAGACAGCTTTCTTACCACACGATGAGTGACAGCACAAAGTTTTTCCGAAGGTTTGGAGTCTTGAGCATGTCTATGGGCGATGCTTTTGTCTTGTGAAACTCGTTTGGAGGAGGAAACTGCAAGGAGTGAGATGTGATGAACAATAGACAGTGAACATTCCTAAAGAACTGACATTAAACTGCCTGTACAGTGCTGTTTCCAACTGTACCACTTCTCGCGTACACCGGGTTTTGAAGTTTACTGACACACCAACTGGTGACAAGCCAGAGTCACAATTGGTAACACAGTGTGCGAAACTTCGTAGATTGTGCAAGATAAATCCACGAAATAATATATTTTAATTATTTATCACTAATTCATCCTTTCTAAAATCATTCTCAGAGTACTCGAACTCTCATAAGAATGTCTTGCAGCCTAATTGTACTTTTACGATCACGTGCCTTCTGTTTTCAACAAGCGGGCGAAAAGCGGGTGGTAGAGCAGACTATTGTAACTAGAATAGCACCCCCCCCCCCCCCAAAAAAAAATTAAAGTCACATAACGCTTTTCTGCAAGGGGAAATCAAGGAATGCGTTAGCAACAAATTAGAATGGTATAAGAAATAAGCCTGGAGAACGCTTCCAGCATCTGATCTAGCATAACTCAACACACTGCAAGCATAGCGAAATGCGGCAGCAGGCGCAGCGACCTCGCTTAAAGGCGAACAGCCACGGCAAAGCCGCAAGTACACAGGTATGAGCCATCTGCTAATCCCTGCTGAGACAGGGCGCGTGCGACCACACGCGACCAATCAAAGTTCGCAGTTAGTGCTGAAGCAAAGCATCTACCCCACCCCCCGCCTCTTGGAATGCGCCCACATGTGCCTTTCGCGCAACGAAGACGGCAGGCGCTTTCGTATACTCTGCCTGAGCCATGATTGTCGCTGCCACTCGCAAGTAAAACATATATGCCTACAGTGTCCACGTAACCGCTAGCGCAATAACAATAAAAAAGATAAACAGCGTTTCACGCGTGACGTGATCCCACTCCGGTGGGACGGGCAACCAGTGCTTATTCGATTGCCGGTGCAACAGTGAAATGTCAATCAACTTTCTTTACCTTCATCCCTCATGATTTCCCCTCCCTATTTGCCGAACATAGGTAAGACCACGTTTGGGTTTTAGCATGTACCTGGCATCTCTGCATGAAGTCATCGGACAGTTTCTTGCCATTGATCTTCGCAATGGTGACCAGGATCTTCTTAGAACGCTGTTCCTTGCCCCTAGACACCAGCCACCGTAGAGACTCTGGGACAAACCTGCGAATGTTGAGGCAAAGAAGACAAGTTTCAAGGGCAGACCACCCGAGCCATTTCAAAATATGCCTTCCTTTTAACGGCGAAGCTGCGTACGCTATCGGTAACTTGCGTTCCGTCGCGCGAAACGCCACAGGTGGATATGCGCCACTGGAATGGAGCAAGCCCTGCTACCAAGTACAGCGGGTGCGAGCGTTAAATATAAACTCTGTTCAGTGAGGCGTTTTCAAGAGAAAAAGAAATAACGGGAAAGAGAAAATACAGAAAGAAAAAAAAGAGAACGTTAGAGAAATAATGGGCATAATGACAAATATTGAAAAAGAGAGAGCGCAACAGGTAGGAACAGAGAAATAAAAAAAAAACAAAGAGCGAAAGCGAAGGGAAGAAAGAGTGGGAGTGAAAGAAATGAACGAAAGATTGAAAAAAAAATCGACAAAGAGAAAGAAAACAAAACCAGTTTTCCTCGAGGTTAAACATGTATATAATTTTAACTTTGGATATTAATGCATGACATTACCATGCTTTACTGTCTTTACATATTTACCGAGAATTGTAACTCTGCACTAAACGACACATTTGCTTTCCTTTTGTACGCTTGTCCAACTTAAAAATGTATAATGGTTATATCCGTTCACATTTCTGTATCTTCCTCTGGTACATGAAAATCTTATTCATTTTTCATTGGACCCGCTACTATAGCCTTTGGCTATGGGTCCAACCAGTTTTGGTATTTTGGTATCCGATGCCTGCAAATAAATGATTAATTGGTTGTTTGATTGATTGAAGATAGGAATATAAAAGAAGGAAGCAGATAGAAAGAAAATAGATACAAAAATAGAGAAAAAAGAAAGGGATGGTGCAGAAAAAGAAATTCTCGAGAAACGAAGAATTCCATTCGCCGCGCTATTACTTCAGGGTTGGTAGTGCGAAGCTGCCGTAATTCTTCTTTTACAGCTTTTTAGTAAGTTTAGGAATTGTTGTGTGGCATGACTAAAGGTATGCCGACTCGTCGCAAAAGTGTTGTTGGGAGACAATAGATTGTTGGGAGACAAAAGATTGTTGGGAGACAATAGATAAACGCGTTTTTTACAGCGAAAGCTGCTATGAAATCACAACTGGGGTCACTTGCGCGCTACCACCGCCGCTGTCCGTAACCACTATCGAACGAAAACTCAGTAAATGAAAAAAAAAAATCAAAGACAAAATGGGAGTGGAACGCGGGTCCGCTGAGTTCCAGCCCAGTATTTTACCATTCGGTCACGCCGGTGCTTGAAATTCCTTTGCGAATCGGCCTTAGGCAGGCTTGATGTCGGAAATGTAATCGCGTTAATATGAGTAATAAAGCATTTTATATAGAACAGCAAAAGAACAACCAGATTTCACATGATGCTATTTGCACGCCGAGTGTGTTGATTGATATGTGTGGTTTAACGCCCCAAAGCCACCCTATGATTATGAGAGACGCCGTAGTGGAGGACTCCGGAAATTTCGACCACTTGGGGTTCTTTAACGTGCGCCCAAATATGAGTACGTGGGCCTACAGCATTTCCGTCTCCATCGGAAATGCAGCCGCCGCAGCCGGGATTCGATCCCGCGACCTGCGGGTCAGCAGCCGAGTACCTTAGCCACTAGACCACCGCGGCACATACGCACCGAGTGTGTTTTCAGACGCTCCAACCTTTCACAAAAGCTTGACCTTCTTTACCCATTAACTGTGGCGCATGTATCCACTGAGGTGGATTGTGGATATTATAGAAGCTTCTGGCATAATTCTTCATCGTCGTCAGCCACAGTTTAAACATATTACACAAAGTGTCTTGCAAGTACTCGTCCAGCGGGTACCACGCTTCTGCGAAGAATGACGGGGGATGGCGTGATGAATGTCTGCCTGCTAGACAAGGGTTTATGGCGTAGTGGGTACCCTGCAAGTTTGCTTGCAGCAGCTACCCAAAGAGTGTTAAAAAAAAGGGCTCTGAAAGGCCGCTCGTCCAGCTTTCGCTTTGACAGCGCTGCGCGCTCTGCGCAGGCCTGGCAGTTTTTTTTTTGTTTATCTAAGTATATTCGGTCCTACACGCACTTGATCCATGCAGAATGCGGACGAAAAAACGTTGCGGGGCCCCTTTAAGGGACCCGTAATAATAACTATAATATCTGGGGTTTTACGTTCCAAAACCAAGGTATGATTATGAGAGACAATGTAGTGGAGGTTCCGGAAATTTCGATCATCTGGTGTTCTTTAACGTGCTATTACATCGCACAGTACACGGGCCTCTAACACTTCACCTCCATCGAAATGAGATCGCCATAAACGGGATCGAACCGGCGACCTTCGGGTAAGCAGCCGAGCAACCGCTATAGCAGCGCGGCGGACAGCAGAATGCATGGGTCAGAGAACTAACGGTTGTTACGGACATCTTAGTCGAGATCGATAAGAAATGGGCATGGACATGGCGTGCAGAGCGTATAGGCGAGATAACCGCCTGTCATTAAGAGTTTAATAGAAGACTGGATTTCTAGAGAAGGCAAGCACGGGAAGTGCAGACGAGATTAATACGTTTGCGGGGATAATGTAGCTGCAAAAAACACGGAACCAGGCCGATCGGCAGAACTTTGCCTTCAGCGGCAAAGTTTTGGCCTTTGCCCTTCAGCGGACGCAGTCGGGCGGATGACTGATGATGATTGTACTGTACTTGGGGTCAAGTCATACACTCACCAGGAGAAGAACGGGGCCGCCAAAGGTGGTACGGCGCAGACCAAGGTGAGGGTCCTCCAGTCGGCCAACGCGTAAGCCATCCAGGGAAAGGCGGCACCCACAAGAGGATACGAGAACTGGAACGCGCTTAGCACCATCATGCGACGCTCTGGGGCGACGTACTCCACCACTGGAAGGTTGGAATCGAGTGGCCTTGTTATGCAATGGTCAGTGCTGGTGTGGAATACAGAGTACTGACTACAGGGTGTTCGAACGGCCTTTCTTGATCGAAATGTTTTTGAATACAAACGTTAAAAAATAAAATAAGTGCATCCACGAAATCTTGCTCGTATAAGTGTCATTCTACACTGGCAATCTCGGCTGATGTCCTCCCTTTATCATTCCAGTCACTATCATGAGTGGCGGACGCGTAAAAGCTGCACCACCAAGAAAACTTCATTTCGTGAGAGAGACTTAGTAAATAGAGGACCTCGTTTTAAATGTCACTGTAAATGGCAGATTTTCCCCTGCTTAGTGAACTAGTGAGAGAGAGACGAGAGCAGAAGCAGTAGTACAGAAACTCTCCGGCCAATTGCCACGCGCGAGATGTAGTACGTGTCATTTTTTTATAGGAACACGAAAAAAAATAAACTACCTTATCTGGCCTTGTCTTCACACTTTTCTTGAATGTTCGTAAAGCATACAGCAAACTTTGACATAGCACCTCATTTTGTTCACTACACCGAACCATTGTCATCAAATCTAGAGTTGACTTATCCGCCAAAACAAACTATAGTCTACCACCCCGAATAAACCAAAACGAGAAGGTTAGTAACCTCTGCTAATCATCCCGTGCCTTCTCTCTCTCTCTCTCTCTCTCTCTCGTGCTCTCTCTCTCTCTGTCGCTCGCTCTCTTTTTTTTTTTTTGCAGCCATTTACCACTTGACAGCGCAAAGGAATTCAGAGCAAAGAAAGTTTGCCGTATTTAACCAGCTAGCTTATTATTAGGTTCCTATAATGCAGCAGGACCAAGACGTGCAACACTATACTCACCGAGCACGAAGGGCATGATGCTCACGGCGAGCACGAACAGACCGACGAATACGCGGCTCACCACGAAGTGCACGAATCCTGTAGTGAAGTACGTGTACAGGCCCGCAGCACCGCACATCACGTTCACGCCGATCATCACGGGGACCCGGCCGATCCTGCAGTCATCACGAACGGAGCATGCGCGATTCTCACAACACAGCTGTACGCATTACTTGTGTGCATACAGTATCACTTCGTGTACCGCACTTATCGTGCGATTCCCTGGAATATAGCAAGCCAGGTGATAAAGCGGCAATCTCTGGCAATTGATTGATTGATATGTGGGGTTTAACGTCCCAAAACCACTATATCATTATGAGAGACGCCGTAGTGGAGGGCTGCGGAAATTTCGACCACCTGGGGTTCTTTAACGTCCACCCAAATCTGAGCAGCACACGGGCCTACAACATTGCCGCCTCCATCGGAAATGCAGCCGCCGCAGCCGGGATTTGAACCCGCGACCTGCGGGTCAGCAACCGAGTACCTTAGCCACTAGACCACCACGGCGGGGAATCTCTGGCAATGTCATTTAAAACTGCCGCATGTCATCCACCCATTTTTCTTCATTCCTTTAAGGCATATGGCTTTAATCTGTGGAGTTAATTTATATATATATATATATATATATATATATATATATATATATATATATATATATATATATAATATAGTGGGAGTAATAGTTCAATGGGCCAGTTAGTCTTCGTGAAGGTATGGGATATGGCACAACGGGAGCGTTGTCAACAAGGATAAATATATTTATTTCCCGACAGTTTCGGGAGGGGTCCTCCCTTCATCAGGGGATGAGTTATACTGACATGAACTTCCAAACTTCGTTGCTGCCGCGTATATATATATATATATATATATATATATATATATATATATATATATATATATATATATATATATATATATATATATATATATATATATATAATATATATATATATATATATATATATACGAGGAATATGGAAATTACAGTGACATTCCGAGCTGGGAATTTCTTCCTTCTCGGGGAATTTTCAGCCGTAATATTGCGCGGAAGTGAGAATGGCGATCTTTGCGATGTTGAAGCGAGTTCCAGGTGTCGTAAGGTTTCTCGATAATTACCAAAACACGGCTTTCTTAATGAGATTTCATCTTCTACAGGCGGTTTATTTATTTGTTTATTTATTTATCCCTGAGACCCGAGCGCATTAAAGAGGGGTGTAACATTGGTAACATAATACAGCTTCGGGATTACGAAACTAAAGAACTCGTTACATTGATCGAGTGAAGTAAAATAAGAAGAGCACACAGTACGAAGACAGCGGAGGAAAAAAAAAATTGAACATACAAAGCCTACGATCTTTTACAACAAAGAAACGAAATAGAAATAAGTCTGAAAACAATACATCATATATCTGAAAACTAAATAAAAAAACATATATTTACTACATGCCACTAAAGTAATGGCGTGATTAAAAGAAAGCTGTGGCGCTTGCAGCATGCAAAGGCTTTTGGAGTGATTTTTCATTAACTCCGCGTGCTACGCTCTACGCCCACATATTTACAACGCATGCACACTTACTTTCATGTCTTCGATCACTTACCTGTCGCTGACGTCACCGCAGATGAGAACGCCGATGGCTGTCGCAACCCAGAATGCTGTGTTAGACACGTATGCCTTCCATGCATTATCGCATACCCAGTTCATCTGCGCCGGTGTTTCATGATAAATGGTGAATTAAGGGGAGGGGGAAGTCACGTGAGCTGTATACCTCAGAATTTTTCCATAAAGTTTTTGCATATATTCAATCATACGTCACATAACATGTTGCTATACAGATAGTTGGCCTTCAATGTTCACTTGCTTCAAACGTTTCAACACCAATATGAAGACACATAGACCAGGGCATAAATTGGCACAGAGTTCTATCATTGCATTGAGCATTACGCAAGCACAACAACGGATAGTGTACATTGCCGACACTAGATATCACATAACCCATCTACTGCTTGAAGTGGCTCATGCTTTTCATAACCCATCAACGAAAGTTAAATGAATAGGCCCATGGTGGCATTGTTTTCAAAAACTCGCAGGACGCATGCACATGCGTCCCCTAGAATCACATAGCTCGAACTCCAAAATGTTCTTAATAGTTAACTTTATAGCTCAATTCGAGGTCTGCGAAAGAGAGAGAGAGACTAAGCATAACGAGGAAACGCGGAGATGTTGCCCATAAGACAACTAACCGGTTTGTTACCCCAAAGTGGGTAAAGGGTAAAGAAAGACAGAAAAGAAACAAAGAGTATAATGCCTAAGAGAAAGCGATAAGTTGAAACACACAACACAGCCGCTACACACACACAAAAAAAAACTATGTAGAGGTCACACATCACGGCTTCTATATAAAACGGCCATGCACAGACGTTTGAGAAGGTCACAATTCGCAAAGCCGTGAGGCGGTATTCATATTTTAAAAGAAAACGAGAGAAAGATAAGAAAAAGGTAGGGCGATTATCTGTAGCGGAGTCTAGTTGGATACCGCACGCTGGGAAACGGAAAGAGGGCTAAAAGGCAATGGGTTTTGCAAGTTGTACGACAGGGTATACTACCAGGGCAGTGTCCTCACCTCTGAAACCACGCTCGGGTAGAAGTAGGAAAAGTCGTACTCCCATCCAAACTGACACGGCACGACAGCGCGCACACCGGTGGTGATGGCCGAGGCATTTACGACTCTCGTCGAGCCCCCGGCGACGTCGAACCACAGGGCCAGCGTGGAGTTGGCGTCGTACATGTGACACTGGCTGAACGTGCCGTCGGGCTCCCGCGGCAGCGCCAGGTCCAGCAACAGGTCGGCATCGTCTGCAGTCGCATTGCGCAGACCCCGGAGGGCCTCCTGAAGCCAGGGGTCCAGCCGACACCGGTGCGGAGGCACGAGTAGACTGAAGATGTGCCCGAACAGCGGCAACACTCGCAGCGGAGCGACGAACACGCACAGGTACACGATGAGCAGCCACTGGAAACGGCCGAAGTCGCCTACTTCTCGGAGGGCCTCTTCGAGCAACATGCCTCTCTACGTTAGCATTCCTCCCACGAACCTTTTCCACCGTTGCTGCCGACTTCTCGCGGAAGGATGGGCGTCGCCTCTTTGTCGCAGCTTCTGGGAGAAGTGAGAGAGACTCCGCTAAGGTTAATGGCTCACGGAAATGAAACAGAGTCTTCACGGATTAAGACACTCGTTCATTAGGAAAGGCGCGATACCGGGACCGCGAGGTCGCCAACAGGAAGCTCAGACAGTTAACCCGCCCAAGGTTGGGAGACCCTCGAACCTCAAGCTGAGAGAGCTGAAAGCTGTAACAACTCAATGTTGCATGAGAATTCAAGTATTTCATTTTTGTCAGCGAGTTACAATCGTTCCCTTAATTCACCTGTTGTCACAACTGGTCATCATCTATAGACCTTTATGGACAACATGACATTACACGCCCAAGAGGGCGTGTAGTGCCAAAAAGGGCTAGACAGTAGAGCTATACAAAGGTATCACGCATCTTTGAGAAACTTTTGGGTATAGTGTATTTTTGTATCGAGACACACTTGAAAATTTGATTTGTCTCCCAACACCGAAATACCTTTACGATGTATGTATTCTATGGTGATAATTTGCACGACAGGAGTATCTTTGTTTTTGGGAAATCAGCTGGCGTGTTTCCGAATAGCGAGATCAATACTGGTTTCTGGTAAGACCTACGGTCGACACAGGGAGGACGGCAAAGGGTTCCCAAAATGCGCAAGATGGCTCTCGAGATAGCGGAATGGTATAACCCGAGAAAAGGTATCCCCACGATGCAGAGCTCTCCGACCACGAATTCGTTGCTTATCCGCTTTAAGTCGCACTTGCGCTCCGCATCGGTAGAAATACTTTTCTCGTTCGTGAGCCTTGTATTGAAGAGAAATCAGCGCGAGACTAGAAAAAGGTGATGATTGTCAAGTGCAATTAATCCAACACTCTTCTTAACCAAAAATATATCCTGTGAAAGTATGTAGCTGTCAGATTCAAACACAAGCGGAAATAAGCACGAACATCATGAACATATATCAAGGGTATTAAGACCCCGTCCCATCCCACCCGAAAAACTTACTGTTGCGGACCTATGATTTATAACCTGGCCTACAAGGCACCGATCGTCTGATGCCCATTTGTGCAATGCAAGGTCGCAACGAAAAGACAGTACAACAAAAAGGCACCGTGCCTGCAATCTCACCTCGCGTCTCGTCTTGCTGCACTGTATACCTATAGGTTCTTTCAGTAGAAAACGATTGCTCCAGCTTTTCGGATGTCCGTCAGTTAATACAGGGTATTGGGTCTCAGTGAAATGATATCAGAAGGTAGCGTTCCTTCGAGACTACCTTGCCTCCCTTTCCAATGCCACTGAACTTTGCTGATTAAACCTGCTGTCATGTTGATGACACCCCCCCACCCTCTACACCATGTACGTTCTCTCTCTTAATGCATTTATCGCACGAGGTTTTGCACAGTAGTACAGCAGGACAATAGGTACAGTATCGTAGCAGTGACTGCGACTTTTCGTTATCAAGGCCTACGTCAGCGCGAAATTTCTCAGGTATATATGTGCCGGGCACTCCGAAGGCTAAGTTGCGCATTCTAAGGGCGAAGGTATTACCGCGACCTTAATTGCAGTTTTGAGTTTTAGATGTATTCATAATGGTCGGAGAACACTGGAGAGTCAGAAAGAGATAACTAAAAAAAACACATTAGTAGTCGCTACAGCGCGTGAATGGGCATTGAAGTGATGACGCATCGCGAGATAAAAGTAAAAACCACCGTTTTTTCAGGACGTTTCAACAAGGAACTATATGATGCCCAGGCTCTTTGGAAAAATACGAGCCGTGATTGTCCGATACAGCACTAGCGATCAAGCTGCCCCCCCCCCCCTCCCACCCTTTTTTTTTATTCAACGTAATTGGCTGCACATTACATCCAACTCGCTTCACTTGTGAAATATTGATCACCTCGTGAATTCAGCCCAGACCATCCCCGCAGAGCTTAGCTTGAATGGAAAAATAACTGTTTCTCGTTGCATACTCCTGAAGGACAACCAGCTTTCAGTTTGAATTTTAAAAAAGAAAAAAAATAGCGAGTGTTATTTTCATATACAATAACGCTCGGTTTGTGCGCAGTTTCTTTTTTTTTTCGTTCCCTCATTTTGCGCTCTTCACTTACGCATCTGTTTATCCCCCCTCCCCAGTGCCAGGATCGAAGCATTATAATGGGGGACTGAAGTGGGGAAGTAAGGGGCTACAATGAGTTTGAATAGCACAGTCCATTAACGAACGTCTAACCTTATACAAACTATACCTATAACTAGCCCAACAGCAAGCCTTCTAAAACTATCAAAGTGCAAGATACTTAGGCAAGTAAGTGATCGTTTGTGTTGTGTCCATGAGTACAAAAGAAAAACTGTTTCGCTCGCGAAATACGCTACGTGAAACAATAAAAAAACAAGAAAAACAAATCTGAGTTGCATTTTCTGCAACTAAGGAGACGACATAATGTCTATGTTACCTGCAAAGTATGTACTCACATTATGCCGATCCAAGTAAGTTCTGGGCCAGTGTCGCCTCGTCTCTTTGTACGTCCGAGGCCTTTCTCGGGAAGAAACGCCCGTCACACAATTCGCTTATCGCGGTCTCTTTATTAGGTTTACAGCTCCTTCTGGGCAATTTCGCCATTAGCCGGATGCTATGTCATGGAAGGTTCTATGCCTTTTGTTTCTTGCAGGCCCGCGGCACGTGAGTGATTGCAATTACAGCCGCAACAATAAAACACGCAAAGTGTTTCGCGTGCCGAAAACTCGAGCAAAGCTCGGGACGCAGTGTAACTCATCTGGTTGTATAGGACAAACGATACCCGCATGCTACGGTATTTGATAAATCCACATAGTATAGTCTATGCAGATAAACATAGGCTTAAATTATAGGGGGGGGGGGTGGATCAGGGAGGTCTGGGGCCACATTAATTGTATTCAGACTGAGAGGGACACGCTTTGCAAGTCCCCTGGCGATAATAGCTTTAGAACGTCGTATAGTTTAGGTAGCGCATTCGACTTTTTTTATTAATATAAGGCTGACAATATTTTAATGTGTATCTGTGTTCGATAACCCTCAGCTGTGTGAGACTATGAAAATCGTAACAGCCACTTGTGTTTGAGTTTGAGTTTATTCAACCACGTGACAAGTACACGAAAATACAATGTATACGTGGTTTGGTGCGAAGGGAAAAAAGCTGCATTTCACAGCTTGACTGGCCCCTTCACCCAGAAAAAAATCTAAACTACAAATTTACAAAAAACTACAAAAAATTACTTGACCGGTTCTGAATAGAACAACCCTCGATTTACTCGACCATGGACATCATGCTCATTTTTAAAGCTTTATTTCGAAGCATGAATAAATTGTCGTTAAAATTAAATACGACACGCATCGCAGAAATTAAATGGCCGCCATGGTCTCAATTGTGTGCTCTCTTCTGATCTTTTATAGATTTACGCCACCTCAACTCTACACCATACACAATCAGCTGCAAGAGTTGGTGGCACGCTAAAGCTACTAAAGCAGCCTTCTGGGATGTTTCCGAAAAAAAGATAAAATAAAAAAAAAACTGGTGTAAGGTCTTCTTTTCTATCTTTTTATGACTCACGAATGACTGGAAACAGCTTGCGGGCACGTGCACTTGCAATGTGGTGTGTGTGTGTGTGTGTGTGTGTGTGTGTGTGTGTGTGTGTGTGTGTGTGTGTGTGTGTGTGTGTGTGTGTGTGTGTGTGTGTGTGTGTGTGTGTGTGTGTGTGTAAAACGAAAAGAAAAAAAAAATTGGGCAGATCCCACGTACAGTGGGAATCGATGATATGCGAAGCATGAATGAGGAAGGTTGATAGGTCACTCTAAAATCAGCACAACGTTACGACTCGGGTGGACGTAAATATGCCGTACATGACTTCCTCGTCATGATTATCATGTATGCACGTGTCCTTTACCTTCATCGTCTAATAACGTCATCACCTGATACTAACTTGGGTATATATGAAGCTAGCGAAACGGCCGCGAGCGTTCTATGAGCGTAGCATGTAATCATGTTTTACATGACATCTCTATCTTGATTATCATGTCTGGACATGTCGTATACATTCGTCGTCCGTTGACGTCACGTAATACCAAATTTAGTGTATCTGGAACTAGTGAAACGGCTGCGAGAACGCTATGAGCGTATACCATGTAGTCAAGTTCTAACATGACACGCATCTCATGACTATCATGTTTGCACCAGTCATCCATTGCACTTTCGTCATCCATTGACGTCACGCAACACCAAATTTGGTATATACATGAAGCTAGCGAAACAGCCGCGAGCGCACTATGAGCGTAACATGAGGTCATGTTACATGACACGCTTGTCATGATTATCTTACTTGGACGTGTCATTTACTTTTGTCGTCCGTTGTTGGGAATTCCGGTTTGTTGGCATCCCACCACTGCCACCACTGTTATGAATTCGGGTTCGACGACATCCCACCGCTGCAACCGCTGTTAGGAATTCGGGTTGTGTCGCGATGGTAGCGGTAGCCAAGAGCGGCGAGCAGCCGAACGGACGTCGCTGAAGCCTTCGCCCAGTGCTGGAATAGGGAGGCAATCGTTTTGAAAACGGCAACAGGTAGGCACGGCCAGCACGACGACGTCAGCTGAGGAAGTGTCCGAGGAAGTGTACCCCGTCCTCGGACTCCAGTGACCGTTTTTCCATCTTTCCTGTCTCTCCTATCCCCTCAGTTTGTTGTTGCTTCTTCTTCCTCTTTCCTATACCTTTACTTCTACCCTTTTATCCCTCCTCACCCCCATCCCTTGTGAGCTCTGTGGCAGTGTCGCTCACTGAAGCAGACAATAACGGGGCTCACTTTTCTCTTCCTTTCTCTTAAGAACCACTCCAGACGTCAGCTGGGGCGAAAATCCCCCAAACATGGGGCTGGCACGGCCTTAAATAAGGTTTTGGTCTCTTTTACGAGACCAGTTCCCGGTGCTTGGCGGAGAAGGCGAAGCTTTCCCCGGAACGGCACGGTGGCTCGGCAGAGGAGGCGACGCTTT